CTCCGCAGCAGGCAGGACAAGGCTGAGGAATCTGAGAGGGAGAGCCAGAAGGCGCAGGAGGATCAGGAGGAGGAAGGGAAGAAGCGCAAGCAGCTCGCGCATCTTGTTCTTCCCGATGCGGCAGATCTAGCATCGGAATGTAGATTTCGCTTCCAATTCGACTGGTCGGCCGCCGACGACGACGATCAGACCGCTCTCAAGCTCCAATCCCAGCTCATGGTGGCGTTACCGACGCCCCGGGACGAGGTATGCGTAAGGCTTTTCTTGGATTCGGAGGATCCGGACGCCGTGAGGGTGAGAGTGAGCATGGGAGTGAGGGAGAAGCGTGAGCATCTCAAGGTCTTATCGCTGTCGCGAAGCATCGGGTCGGGAGGCCCTCCGGTGGAAAATCTTGGAGTTCTATCCAAGCTTTTGGGGCCAGCCAATTTCGCCGATAGCGCACTTGCGAATTCGCAGCAGTGGCACGCGCTCCAGACTTTGAATCTTGCCAATTGCTCGCTCACGGTATGGTCTTTATCTTTGAAGTCTCTATTCATACAAACGACAATGCAGGTGCTTCCTTTGGAATTGACCAAGCTGCCGATGCTACGAAAGCTCCTGCTTGACAATAACAAAATCAGCGGTCTTCCAGCGGCAATCGGGCAGCTCTCGCATTTGCAAGTTCTACGTGTGGATCATAACATGCTTGTTTCGTTGCCTGGTGAGTAGTTTCTTCTTTTCTTTTCTTTTGAAGGTACTATATATCATATCATTGTCCTTTCACAGCTGAGCTCAAGCAATGCGCGGCATTAGAAGAATTGTCTCTGGAGCATAACAAGTTGCTGCGCCTTCTTCTTGACTTCAGGTCTTGGTAGATGCATCTCGTCTTGCAAGGAGGCTGAACTGGTCGCTTTTTGATTATCAGAGCAATGACCAAGTTGAGGCTGCTACAACTTTTTGGCAATCCCTTGGAATTCTTGCCTGAGATCCTACCGTGCGAAGCCTTGCGCATTCTTTCGCTTGCAAATGTTCACATAAAAGCAGACGAAGATCTATCCAACATAGCCATAGACATTGAGGTATGCTTCTGTTCGTGTGTATTGTTTTGTTTACCTTCTTCTTGCAGACCGAGAATGCGTCGTATTTTGTTCAATCAAAGCACAAACTCAGCGCCTTTTTTGCTCTAGTATTTCGGTTCTCGTCCTGTCAACATCCTGTTTTGGCATCAGCGCTTGCGAAGATTGCTCAAGACCCTGGCAACCGTGCAGAAATGGGAAAGGACGAAAGTGCTGTTCGCCAACTCTTAAGCATGATACTAAGTGACAATCGCCACGTGGTACGTACGAGCTCAACTTTTGCTTCTGTTTCCACTAGCCTTGAAATTCTCAGGTTGAGCAAGCGTGCGTGGCACTCTCGTCTTTGGCAACAGAAAACCCCATAGCACTACGACTAATAAAGGCCGATACTGTCGAGTCCATTGAAACTGTTTTGAAGTTCACGGCTCCCGAGCTTCTTACTTCGGTTCTGAAAGTTATTGTCAACCTTGCTTTCTCGTCCGATGTCATTGCGTCAAAGATGCTTACTAAGGACATTTTGAGGCGTCTAAAACAGCTATGTGCTCATGAGAACATAGAGGTTGGTCTTTCCGTTTTGAGATTACAACTAAGCTCGGTGTACAGGTACAACGTCAAGCATTGTTAGCTGTAGGAAATCTTGCATTCTGTCGAGAGAACAGACAGTTACTGGTAACTTCAGAAAGCTTACGAGATTTGCTTTTCCGTCTATCTGGTGCCACAGATTCACGTATATCCAAGTCCGCTGCACGGGCCTTAGCTATACTAGGTAACGAGTGCTCTCTCAAGCCGCCTTTTCAAGTTGTATATTTCTATTTCAGGTGAGAATGAGTATCTCAGACGAGCAACAAAAGCCCGTCCTGTTTCGAAGCAAGGCTTGAGAATATTGGCCATGGACGGGGGTGGAATGAGGGGTCTTGCAACCGTGCAGATGCTTAGGAAAATTGAGCAAGGAAGTGGAAAACGGATCCATGAGATGTTTGATCTTATATGTGGCACATCGACGGGTGGAATGCTTGCCATCGCTCTTGCAATCAAACAGTTTAGCCTTGACAAATGCGAAGAGATATACAAGACGCTGGGTGTGTACTTCAAATTCTTTGTAAGCTGCTTTTCTGATCCTCGTACATTTCAGGAAAAGTAGTGTTTGCCGAGCCGATTCCAAAGGACAATGAAGCAGCCACTTGGAGAGAAAAACTAGATCAACTCTATAAAAGCTCTTCACAGAATTTTCGTGTTGTGGTGCATGGCTCTAAGGTGAGGCGCTTAATCTCTTTTACTTTTCTTTTATTGATGGCAGTCTTTTTCTCTGCAGCATCATGCAGACCAGTTTGAACGCCTCCTAAGGGAGCTTTGCGCGGATGAAGAGGGCGACCTTTTGATAGAATCTGCAGTTAAAGGGGTTCCAAAGGTATTTGTGGTATCGTCGCTAGTCAGCGTCATACCAGCCCAACCATTCGTGTTCAGAAATTACCAGGTACGCAACACTTTGTGTGAGTTTAACACGGTTCGCTGAACTTTTAGAATAGTACCCAGCGGGAACTATCGAGACAGCTCCATGGACTAAGGAAGGACCAGCTGTATCAGTTTCAGGAACACCTGCAACAGCCGCTCCTTTAACAACTCAAGTAGGTCCGAAAAGATGTGCATTTTTGGGATCGTCTAAGCACCGTATATGGGAGGCTATAAGGGCATCATCTGCTGCTCCTTACTACCTGGATGATTTCTCTATAGGTACATATAAAAAATGCAGCAGTAGCCATATGTTTTTCTTTCTTTCTTTCTTTCTTTTTTTGGGCAGATACAAATCGATGGCAGGACGGAGCTATCGTTGCAAATAACCCAGCTTTGATTGCAATTCGAGAGGCACAGCTTCTTTGGCCAGACACTTCTATTGCATGTTTAGTGTCCGTTGGATGCGGAAACGTTCCAACAAAGGTTCTGTGGTCTTTTTCCTTTTCGTTTCAATGCACTGAACTGCTAGGATTTCAGGCTCGTGGAAAAGGAGGCTGGCGATATCTAGATACCGGCCAGGTTTTGATCGAGAGTGCCTGCTCTGTCGAGCGGGTAGAAGAAGCCTTGGACACGCTTCTGCCTTTGCTTCCCGATCTTCAGTATTATCGTTTTAATCCTAGTTAGTATTTATGAAAAGGCTCTTCTCGTACTCATGCTTGCTTTTCCAGTTGACGAGCGATGCATTATGGAACTGGACGAAACTGATCCGGCTGTTTGGCTGAAACTTGAGGCAGCTACCCAAGAGTATATCGATGCGAATATTGCTTCATTTCATGCAGTCTGTGACCGCCTACTGAAGTTGTCACTAGAAGAAGGAGCCCGACCAGCAGCCAAGGGATGGCCTTCGAAGAGTACGTAATCATTTTCAATGATGCTGAGTGATTCAATTTCTTGAATGCAATGCAGAAAATGACAGTCGTCCAGGACTGGGATGGAGACGCCGACTTCTTCTCGTGGAAGCATCCCGTAGTCCCGAGATGGCGAAGCCTTTCAAGCATACTCGAACTTTGGAAGGCTATTGTGCTCGCAACAGCATCAAGATTGAGGTCGTTAGTAGCTCCGGTGGAACCTTACGCTCGGCAGCTTCTTCGTTCACGCCCTTGACGTCGCCATTATTTTCAAGCACACCGTTTCCATTCAGTCCTGACATCGCCTCACAGATATTGGGCCGCTCGGAGGTTCCACCTCTCAGCCTTGATGGTTCAAAACAACTGCACACGCCTCCAGGTTCGCCTCCTTTGGGACCTCGGCAGCTTTATGGTCCAGTGGCGACGTTGCACGAAAAGATCCGAAGTTCTCCCCAGATTGGAGTAGTGCATTTGGCATTACACAGCGACCAGATGGGTCTAGTCCTGAGGTAAATCTTTCTGGTCACAAAAACTTGCCTGCTGATCAACTCTGTTTTCCCTTGCAGCTGGAGGACTGACATTTTTGCAGTAGCTGAGCCTGGTGACATGGGCGTGGAATTTCTCCAAAAGGTGACAACAAGCATACGCCAGTCCTTCGTAAAGAGCCATGGGAGCAAGAACGTCCAGCTTCCAACGTACACTAAGCTGGAAGACTTGGTGTCAAGACACCCTCGTTTCGTACTAGATGGAGCGCTACATTGTTTTATGGGTCGGATGCAGGTATTGTAAGCTATTTCCTTAGAGGATCTCTGACACGGGTGAATGGTAGATGCTAAGCGATGGCCAGGAAGTTGGATCGTACCTCTTTCGTAGAGTACTTCCCGAGGCTCATCTCACAGCAGACGACGTCCGGTGGATGGTTTGTTTGTTTAGTTTTCTACTCGTCCATCTCTTACGCTTGATGAAAAACTGTGTAGGTAGGGGCATGGAGAGACAGAGTGGTGGTGTGCACTGGAAAGTATGCCCCGATCCCAAGCCTGGTGAAAGCGATACTGGACGCAGGAGCCAAGGCCGTGATCGCTCCCATTGCCGAGCCGCCGGAAATGAAAGCCGCCGAATGTGGAGGAGAGAAGGCCGACTTTGAGATTGGCGAGGAGGAGGAGGAGGAGGAGGACGGGGTGGAGTTCGTCCACCACAACGAGGGCGATTGGGAGGACAGTGACATTGACGAGGGGAGCGAGAGCAAAATGGAGAGGCGAGAAGTGGAGGAGCGGGGATTGTCGGCCTTCATCTCGTGCCTCTACGACGAGCTCTTCAAGAACGGCGTTGGAGCGGAGAGCGCGTTGCAAAGCGCCGTGGATTCGCATCCCAAGCAGGCCTATCGCTGCATTCTGCCGGCAAAGGATTGAAAAGAGAGAGAAGAGGAAAGTCATCGGTCTAAGATTTTTTGACTTGTAAGTATATTCTTTTAGTAAGCCCTAATACGAGTCAACGGTCACAAAAATATTCTGCCACGCTGGACAACGCAATCTGATCTGTGTTGCCAGTTGTCACCTAGCTGCGTGTCATTTTTGGACTTTTTTCCTTCCAAGAAACCCTAGTTAGGGTTTTAAGGGATGCCATTAAGGGTGCGCATTTAGATCGAGTCCTTAGCCATGGGAATATGCTAGACATTTTAATCGCAAGCACCAACATTTTGTGTAGATTCGGTCGGTCTCTTTCTCTCTTTTCTCTCTTTTCTCTCTCGCCTCCTCTGTCGTGTTCTTCGATCCCTCCCCAGGGGGAGTTTTTCCATCCGGCATTGATCGAGAGTTCTTTATAGTGGATCTTTCTTGAGGATCACACGGAAATCTCATGGGAGATGCGACAGGCGCGGTTGCCGATCTAGGTTCCCAGGCGCTGCCGGACAGCTCGGAGCCGCGGCTCGGATCAATCCAGGATGATCCAGATCCTGCTCCAAAGAACCACGCCGAGGTAAAGCTTCCTCTAGGGTGTAAAGATCCCTGACGATCGGCGCTGGGATCGAAATAAATGTGCCAGGGTAACGGCAATGGATACAAGAAATCACTCTTCCCTGCCGCCGGCGGAGCTGGAGCTGGAGCTGGAGCTGGGGCAGCGAAAGAGAAGAGAAATTCTCTCCTCAAAGGCTGCTCGCCTCCGGCATCGACTCCTCGCTTGAAGGCTTCTCGATCCAACTTCACTGTGCCGCAGCCCTTTTCTCTCACCACCGAGAAGAGAGCCACCGCCGCCGGATCAAAGCCCACTGGCAATGGTGTTCCCACCCCTTCAAAGATTTCCCAGGTAGCCTTGTTCATTGAGTCTTCTTTCTCACGATCATTTGGCTCAGCTGGTTCCGCAGAAGAGCACGCCCAAGAAAGGAGACTTTGCTGCTCATCTAGCGAAAACCTTCGCTGCTTCTCCGAGGTAGAGTTCTCTTTCTTTCTTCAGTTTTGTTTTGGATGTCTAAAGGATTGGAGCTTTTTTATTCTGCAGTCCTGATAGTCTAGGACTCACTCCAAAGTCCAAGGCCGAGTTTGTGTTTAGATCTGATGAGCGTGCTCAGAAAAGAATGGAGGTATGGTTTTTTGTGGTTTTAAAAGCCTGGTGCTTGGATCGTGACTGTTCGTTATTATTGAGTGATTGGTTCGTGGCTCGCTGTTCCAGTTTTATGCGAACTTAACGGAGAAAACGAGAGCAAGAGAAGCGGAACGGAACCGAATCCAAGCCAGCACCCAGGTATATAAGCTAAGCTACGAACGAGAGTGCCGTTTCTTTCCTTTGCGTTTGCTGATGGTGAAAGCTTGGCTCTACAGCAACAAGTGGCAGCGGAAATAAAGAAGCTGCGCAAGGATCAAACCTTCAAAGCTACACCAATGCCGAAGTTCTATCAGGAGCCACCGCCTGTGAGAATAGACGTGAAAAAGGTCTGCTTCTTTCCTGGCTAGACGGGCATGACTTGCATGTTTCTTTGTATATAGACACCTCCGACGCGGCCAAAGTCTCCCAAGCTGGGAAGGAGGGGATCGGGTTCGTCAAGCACTGAAGCTCCACCGAAGATCATTGCCCGGCGCTCGAGCGACGAATACGACGTGAGTAAAGTTCCAGATCAATTTGTTTCTCCCGAGCTCACGGCCCCGGAGAACTACCCAAACGATGCTGCCGAGGTAGGATCGGAGCGCAGCTCTCGAAAGTCCGACGGCACTCGCGTTCCAAAAGCCGCTCTCTCGGAAGACGAGGGTCATCTTGTTGACGCCACTCTCATCGCCAAAGCCGCTCTCTCTGAAGACGAGGATCATCGCGACTCCACTCTCATCCCCAAGGCCGCTCTCTCGGAAGACGGGGATCATCACGACGCTACTCTCATTCCCAAGGCCGCTCTCTCGGCAGACGAGGATCACCACCACCACCAGGATCATCATGTAGCTCAAGACCAGGAAGTTCACGAGGTGGGCGATCACCACCACCACTTGCTGGAGACGTCGAGGTCGAGCAACGAATCGCCAGTGTCGGCTGTGGAAGACGAACTGGACGCTGCTTTCCAGCTCCCAGTGTCCAGCTCGCTGCTCGACGATGGTGACGACGATCCCCAGGAGCTGGGAAGTGAGGATGATGATCCCGACGAGGAGTTTCCAAGCCCGGCGAGCGATCACGGTGATCGCGAGGACAATGTAAGGGTGTTTATCAGCGAGGAATTCCGGCAGGCTGCTACTCGCGAGGATGACGATGATGATCGTCCAAACGAGGAGGAAGAGGAAGAAGAAGAAGAAGAAGACGATGAAGATGGAAGTGGAGCTAAAGTTTATGTCAATATGGATGGAATGAGAGCCGAGAAAGAAAACGAAGGACGCCACTAATGAAAGGAGGAAAAATCCATGCTTTGTTCTCTCATTCTTTGGAGAACGCCAGCATAGAAGAAGAAGAAAAAGCTTTGCTCTCTCTCTCTCTCTCTCTCTCTCCCGTTTGTTTCTTAAATGGACGAAGAAATCGTGGCCCTCCATTTTTTCTAATAAGCCCCATTCCTTAGCCTAGGGTTTGATGCTTTGCGGCTAGGGTGTGCCCGTCTGGTCGTGGCTCGCTCCGCCGGTGCTCTCGCAGGATGTCGCTCCGGCCGCAAGCTCGCACTGAGGTGAGAAAGAAAGGATACAAGAATGCCGTCGATCCGGATGAGGCGCGCCGGAAGCGCGAGGACAACATGGTGGAGATCCGCAAGAACAAGCGCGACGAGAATCTCATGAAGAAGCGGCGAGAGGGCATGCAGCCGCAGCACTTTATGACGCCCGGATCGATCGTGGAGAGAAAGGTATGCGCGTCTCTGGAATGGGGCGAGGGTGATTTGATTCACTGGTGGTGTGATTTCCTTCAGCTGGAGAGCTTACCCGTGATGGTGAGCGGTGTCTGGTCTGACGATCCCAACTTGCAAGTCGAGGCGACGACCCAGTTCCGGAAGCTACTGTCAATTGGTAGCTGCCCTTTTAACTTTTGATGGAAGTCTATTTTTCTTGGTACTGACATGGGTGTTTGTGAAGAGCGAAGCCCTCCGATCGAAGAGGTCATCAAGGCAGGCGTGGTTCCTCGATTTGTAGAGTTTTTGAAGCGCCACGATTTCCACCAGCTTCAGGTATGCCCATTTTTTTTCCTTGCGGTGTTTGGGTCGTTAATAGGAGTTTTAATGAGCAGTTCGAAGCTGCCTGGGCTCTTACAAATATTGCGTCCGGCACTTCCGATCACACGACGGTGGTTATAAACCATGGAGCTGTGCCTATCTTCGTGCAGCTTCTTTCATCTCCCAGTGAGGATGTCCGCGAGCAGGTGATTTTTTCTCTTGTATTTCCAAAGCTTGGAATCTGACATTTCCTGGTACCGCAGGCAGTATGGGCTCTTGGCAATGTTGCTGGCGACTCTCCGAAGTGCCGAGATCTCGTCTTGAATAGCAATGCCATGATGCCGTTGCTAGCACAGCTGAACGAGAATGCGAAGCTGTCTATGCTGCGCAACGCAACGTGGACGTTATCAAACTTTTGTCGTGGCAAGCCGCAGCCGAACTTTGAGCAGGTATGTGGGTCATTTGTAGGCATGTCGATACAAATTTGATCGTTGGTCGGTGTTGTTTCTTGCAGTCGAGACCTGCTTTATCTGCTCTAGAAAAGCTGATTCATTCGACTGACGAAGAAGTCCTTACTGATGCATGCTGGGCTTTGTCATACATATCCGATGGTACAAACGATAAGATTCAAGCTGTCATTGAGGCCGGTGTGTGTCCACGTCTTGTGAGTCTACTCATGTAAGTCGTGTCTTTAGCTCTGACTTTTAACTGGCCTGACGTTCCTGGTTCCAGGTATCCTTCACCGAATGTTCTTATTCCTGCTCTTCGTACGGTGGGAAACATTGTGACTGGTGACGATGTCCAAACGCAGGTAAACTTGAAACGGAACATCCTAGATGTTTCTTACGCTTGCCTTTAAATTTATTTCAGTTCATCATAAACAATGGAGCGCTGCCATATTTGTTACATCTTCTCACCAATGTTTACAAGAAGAGCATAAAAAAGGAGGCTTGCTGGACAATCTCGAACATCACCGCCGGCAACAAGGATCAAATTCAGGCTGTCATTGAGGCCAACATCATTCCGCCTCTCGTGGAACTTCTTGCCAACGCCGAGTTTGACATAAAGAAAGAGGCAGCGTGGGCCATTTCCAATGCAACCTCTGGCGGTACACATGAACAAATCAAGTAGGTTGTCATTGCGCTGAGACGCTGTATCTGACTCTGGAGACGCAGGTATCTCGTGAACCAGGGATGCATCAAGCCTCTATGCGACCTCCTCAACTGTTCCGATGCCAAGATCATTGTGGTGGCCTTGGAGGGCCTAGAAAACATCCTCAAGGTCGGCGAGACGGAGAAGGACCTCGGAAACACTGGCTCCATCAACATCTATGCTAAGTTCATCGACGAGGCGGAGGGCCTGGAGAAAATCGAGAAGCTGCAAACCCACGACAACAACGAGATATATGACAAGGTGATCAAGATACTCAACAGCTACTGGGTGGAGGAGGACGAGGAGAACGTCGCTCCAGGTGTAGCTCCGGCGCCCGGACCATTTGCATTCGGGAATCAGCCTACTGTGCCAAGCGGTGGCTTTAATTTCGGTTGAGGTATGTCTTTTCCTTTCCCTGGATCTCTCGAGTGACTGACTTGGTGTTTCTGTGGTAGAAGAACATCTCGTGTCTCGATCGAGTCGGGAGAAGAGATTTGCTTGGTCCGCGATGTGAGCAGCATCCGCGATCTGTGGCAGACGAAGCTGTGCTGGTGTAAAGTCGAGTTGAGTTTGAGCTAGTCGATGGTCGACAAGCTTTTTGCAGACCCGCCGGGGGAAGGAGAGGGTCTTGTAGAACAGCAGCAAGCTCTTGCTGTCAAAGCAACGTCTCGTATTTGAGACGGTGCTCTTGTCTTTGTTTAGCCGGACGTGCTAAGTGCGGTGGTCGTCGTTGTGGGGGTGGCGTCTCCTCCTTTGTCCGAGGATCGTCATCGCTGCGACTATTACGAGTGGATTTTGGGTTATAAAAGAGTCTATTACAAATTCGATGTATGCAAAGATTTACATGAATGAGTTGAATGTCCTTGATGATTAAAGCTTTTTGCAACTCCTTGGAGAATTTAAAGACTTAAGGTTTGGATCGCCAGCTTTGACTGCGCTTTTGAGAAGATGCCGCTGTGGTGATGTATGCCCAGGTGATGATCCAAGCTTGGCGTATAAAAGAAGCCAAAAGATTGTTTGGAAAGATGCTTGGGCTGAGTGTGATCTCGTGGAACTCTATGATTCTTGGCTTGCTTCCGAAAAACATGTATATATGAAACAAACGTGACAAACTGATCTCGACTTCACACCAGCACAGCTTCGTCTGCCACAGATCACGGACCTCGGCTCTTTGAGGCATCCTTTCAAACAGGACTGCATTTGCCCCGTTTGCAGGAGAGAGGAGAAAAGAGATTTGCTTGGTCCGCGATGTGAGTAGCATAATGACATGCCCGAGCAGGATGTAGTGGTGACAACCGCAATCATGGAAGCATATGCCCGCTCCGGGCATCTTTACCGTGTGAATGTTTTCGTGGTGTCCTGGAGTGTGTTGGTTCTTGCGTTGAGCTAGATCGAGCGCAGCAAATGGTTGAGTTGATGGAGGGACAAAGTTCTCAGGAACACTGTCCAAAAACATCTCCCTAAAGAAGCCCAACGCTTTGCAAATGTTTCCATTCCGAGCATAAGATTTAGTTTATAACACTTTCGGCAACCTGCGGTTCGGAGCGTAACAGATTTGCCACAAGTTTTGCTCTTCTCTAGATTCCATTTCCAGAAACGCTGAGATATCCTATAAAAATATTCCATGTGAGAACCCGTACTTTTTCGAAATACCAGCGAGTTCCAAGAGACGATGCTGTGGCCTTGCAGGTCCACGAGTCTAAACAAGCTGCTCTCCCCGGAAGTACGGTGTTCCAGGCGTCCAAGCGAGGTCACATTCTTGCAGAAGGCTTGAGTTTGTTTTGTTCGCTGGAGCTTCTTAATCCCAGGTCTATGCACCGCTCTAGCAGAGCTTGGTGCAAGGGAACGCTCGGTGGGGCTTGGACTTAAATATCTCTGGAGAGATTCTTTGTGTTTGTTTTAGATTGATCATTCAATCTTGCAACACAATCCCACGCTGCGCTCGCGAATCTCGATTCCAAGCTGCTGCAAGAGAGAGATCTGCTGAAAGCATTTGGCGTGCAAGATCCTAAAGACTTGGATTGGAACCGATCTCAGATATACACTACGGCGAATGGTCCATTGTTGTAAATTAATCGACGATTTTAGTTGAAGCTTCACAAAGGAAGATTGAAGTTTCATGGCTTGAATTCTTTGAAACACTTCCCAGGGCGAATTCCTCCATCGTTTTTGCACAGCATTGGAGAATTTACGATATTTGAATTCGTCGTGTTTAGATCATGAGCAGGGTTTCTGGTGAGCCGTGTCTGGTGTGACGATCCCACCTGAAGTTACTGTCTGGTAGCTGCCTTGTTCTTTTTTATGGAAGTCTTGGTAATGGCATGGGTGTTTGTGAAGAGCGAAGCCCTCCGATCGAAGAGGTCATCAAGGCAGGCGTGGTTCCTCGATTTGTAGAGTTTTTGAAGCGCCACGATTTCCACCATGTCCATTTTTTTCCTTACGGTGTTTGAGTTTTAATGAGCAGTTCGAAGCTGCCTTGGCTCTTACAAATATTGCGTCCGTGGTTATAAACCATGGAGCTGTGCCTATCTTCGTGCAGCTTCTTTCATCTCCCAGCTTCTTTCTTCTTTCGTCCGCTAGCAGGTGATATTTTCTCTTGTATTTTCAAAGCTTGGAATCTGACATTGCCTGGTACCGCAGGCAGTATGGGCTCTTGGCAATGTCGCTGGCGACTCTCCGAAGTGCCGAGATCTCGTCTTGAATAGCAATGCCATGATGCCGTTGCTAGCACAGCTGAACGAGAATGCGAAGCTGTCTATGCTGCGCAACGCAACATGGACGCTATCAACCTTCTTTCGTGACAAGCCGCAGCCGAACTTTGAGCAGGAGGCATGTCGATACAAATTTTGATCGTTGGTCGGTGTTGTTTCATGCAGTCGAGACCTGCTTTATCTGCTCCAGAAAAGCTGATTCATTCGACTGATGAGGAGTTCTTACTGATGCATGCTGGGCTTTGTCATCCATATCCAATGGCACAAACGATGAGATTCAAGCTGTTATTGAGGCCGGCGTGTACGTCTTGTGAGTTTACTTATGTAAGTCGTGTCTTTAGCTCTGACTTTTAACTGGCCTGACGTTCCTGGTTCCAGGTATCCTTCACCGAATTTTCTCACACTGTAGAGGCTTGATGCATTTACAAAACCGTTCTTGAGTTCTAGGGTTCTGCGAATGCAAGGTGA